AACATCACCCACTTAGTTACAGTGATATTATACGCGTGGTAGCAGACGCGGGGAGGTCTCGTTGTTGATTTTTAAAGATGATTTATATTTTGTTTTAAATTAATGAGAACATAATAAAGATTCTCCTCCTACAGATCATTGTAGATCCCATCTCAAATCCCTCCTAAAATGTCCCACCCATAACACTGGCTTCGCATCCTATTCATTCACATTACATAGCGTCCGCCTATGGAATTCGCTGCCAGCAGGAATTACAGATTCCAGTTCTGTCTCGGTGTTTAAAAAGCGTCTATAGAAACATTATTTATCTTCATGCCCTTAATCATGCCCTTAGTTTTTCCATTGTTTCTTTTCTCCTCTTTTCGTCCATAATATATATATATATACTAGCTGACCCAGCGAACTTCGTACCGCCATAAAAAAATTTAATTAAAAAAACATTGTCCAGCGGACAAAATTGTGAATCTAAACCATTCTCAGATCCCCTTGAACACACACAAAAAATTTCATCAAAATCGGTCCAGTCGTTTAAGAGAAGTTCAGTGACATACACACTCACAGAAGAATTATATATATAAAGATATATGTATATATCTATTATTATAAGTATTAGTACCTATTTATAATTGTGTATGTCCCCCTATTGTTAGGTATTTAACGTATATATTTAATCATAATTAGGTGTACACACTGACTGGCTTTTCAATGTGCTTTCCTACAACGGGCTGCTGGAAGAAATTTCAGGTTGAAATAAGCTGTGCCCTTGTACAATTATCTTATTTTGTAATCTCTTTCTATTTATATTTGTGTGTACAAAATGTATAAATAAATAAATAAAGATTATTTGACTTATTTCATATAATTTAATAAGTAGTTTTACTCATATTCCATCTAATTAAAAAAATCCGGACAAATTTAAAAGCCGTACAAAGTCCGGACAAATGGCAAAAAATCCGGACATGTCCGTACCCGTGTGAGGTTACAATCCGGACGGATGGTAACCCTAGTCGCAGATGAACTTGACAGCGTTACCGGGTTTGGGGACGGCGAGATCCTAAGGGGACCTCAAGCCGAGAATTGGCGTTTGCCTCTAGAGGTATAGCAGGCGGATGGCATCTCTTCACGGGGGGAGTCTCCTCTCCGTCTGGAGCCTTTAGACTACACGCACCTGAGGGGGTCGGCTCAACTAGAGGGCGTCTCTGAGACTCGGACCTCGGCTCTTGTTAGCCGTTATCTTGGGCTGACGCGACCAGGAGGGGAGTAAGCATAGAACTTACGTACGCTGAAACTGCGCTTGTGTGCATATCCCTCGCTTGGCTACTCCTTTCCGTGTAGCTCCATGGAACCAAGCCTAGTATTGGGTACGAGTTAAGTTTATTACCGGACCTTAAAGCACGTGACGAATTATTTTCGTATAGGTAAATAGGTGTATTTTAGGCAGCAAAGGCGCTGGTTTATGAGTATGAATAATTACAACCCCAAAAATAACTTTTACAGGTATTAAAGATTTAAAAAAAATTATAGCAATTTAATTTTATATAATTTTAACTGCTAGGTTTTATGTTTTAACAAAAATTTCTTTCTAGAAAATATCGTTTCTTAATCCTAAGTACTCGACTGGGATCAAACGAGCATCTTTCGTTAATAAATTAAATCGTTATCTGGATAAATTCTGTCTATCTTTGCTCCGTGTCTCCGGTGAAGTTAGCAAATAGAACAAACAAATGCGACGATCATTTTGCTTCTGCTTATAGAAGACACCTCGTTTCTATAAACTACTTGTCTAATTCCTTTAACTCTATTTCTGAGGCTACAAAACAAAGCTATTTCTTCACTTACCTCCTAATCTCTAAACGTGTAACAATTTGAAGTATGTGCCTGATCTGTACATCAACTTTATATTTAGAAATATATACTTAGCTTCCTGTCATTAGTTCTGTGTTATAAATTTTACAAAATATTACACCTATACTATCGACATTTCGAGTTATCGATAATACTTTGACCCCACCACTACTCGAGAACTTTAACGCGGGGGCGGAGTTTCACAATTTATTACTTAGCATATTGCGATGACATTGACGACAGACTCAAATGAAACCGTATTGCTTCAGCATAAGAGTCAAAATGTACAAACTCATTTTATCTTTAATTTGAACTCTACGTGAACGAAATAAGAAGGAGTTTTGAATGCACAAAAGTATTGATTTAGGGGGAAAGCATTTTAGTATTCCAGAGGTATGCGGGTAGGGACTGTAGGAATGTACTTACATGTTGTAAGCATCTGTATCTTTTTAGAATTTTGTAGTTTTTATTGTATTTTTAAGCTATGGCATAGATTTTATCGCGGGCTTTGAGCGCGGCGACCGAATCTAGAAATTCCGTAACGAAAATAACCTGACAACAGTGCATATGAACACAATTTTCGCCTTTCTAGTATCGATCTGAACGCGCAGTGTATTAATTTTTTGCAACGGGACCGACGTTCGTCGCATCACCGCGGTCGTCGGTTCAAATCCCGCACTCGTAATTTTTATTATATTTTTTTCCTTTTTTTATATAATTATTTGATTAAGACCCCAACACCTGTTCTTATTTTTATTTGTCTCCCTTTTATTCAGACTTTATAATTATAATTAAAATTTTTGGACTAAAGATGGTAAACTGTGGAGCTTGTGGAAATTTTTTGGCGCCGGGCAATGTTGTTTGTTTGCTGTGCTTGCCCAATAAAATATCATAAGGCCTGCCTCGCCATATTAATATCAAAGAAAAAACTTGAATTGATATTAAAGAAAAAAAAATACTGCATAAATAAAATAAATAAATAATTATAATTGCATAAGTTGATAAAAAATCCTATGCAATAGCTTTACCGCGCAGTCCCCGAGTGCCACACGTATTTATTTTATTATAGAAATACTTTTGGAATTCTTGCGAACCGCGCACAGTAAAAGTTAAAGTTACTCGAGAAAGCTTTTGCAGGCAAATATATCTCTTTGGTTTCTAGTAAACTCTTAGCACATGCAGTGTTAATTTTTTTGTAACGTTCTATGATTTGTTAACCCCCCGTTATAAAATTTAGAACCGAACAAAGCCGTCAAATCTCATGTTTATTACCAATTTGGTTGCTAAAAGCCCAATAAACTAATCACTGTTTGAGAAAGGCTGGCATATTAAGTTCAAAAATTGTTACAGCAAGCACCATTTTGGGTATCTAGAAATTTCCCAATTCTTCGTGTAATAAATTAAAATTCGTTTAGCACTGTTGTTATATTTTTGAATAATATATACCCACACGCAATCCAAATAAACCACGCAACAGAAACGGCCCATGTTATGTGTCCCGGAGACAATTAAGTCGACTTGGCAAGTCTTCATGATTGTAGCGAATATTCGCTACAATCATGTAGACTTGACATGTCGACTTGATTTTCTTCGGAACGCATAATGTTAGATTATTTGAAAGCACTCAATGCGTGCGTGTGTAGCGACCAGCGTATCTGTATATATTTTTTCGGCGTTTTCGTGCAATAGGGTATTGGACAGTGTTAAAAATAAAGTGTCAATTGTTAGCATCTGTGTTTAGAATGAATATTGGCAGGGGTTTTTACTGGTTTTACAAAAAAAATATTCATAATTTTACTAAAAACTAATGAAAAAGATAATAATAATAATATTTATTTAGACCAGCATATAAGTAACACTCTGGCCCCGTCTCATATTCCCGGAACCTCGATGCAGGCTGGCGCGGCTGCTTCGACCGCAGAGGCCCTTAAGCGCCGCAAGTATGATTGCCTCAGTGGAGACCTCACATTTGCGGCGTTTGGAGTCGAGACTCAGGGACCCTGGGGCTCCGGTGCCCACCATCTTTTCAAAGAAATCGCAAAAAATTGGTGGAGACCACTGGAGACCGCAGAGCTGGCGGCTATTTCGCCCAGCGCATAAGCCTCGCCATTCAGCGGGGAAATGCCGCCAGCGTCCTGGGAACCTTTGCCGACGGGGACGATCTAGGGCAGCTTAATTTTTAATATTTGTATAGTTTTAGTGTAGTTTTAGTTTAATATTTGCCATGTTACTCATTTATACTATCTCATATGTACATATTTAGTAACATTACGTCTTATAAACTGTGGACACTATATATGAGCTTAAGAATATAAAAGACAATCTTTAGCGTCTGCTGCCGAACCAGGATTTTCATCTTGTATTTCAGCATACAGAGTGCCTCAATCCTCAGGTTTAGACAATTACTTGTATTCTATAAGCGATTGAAGTTCATGTTCAATGCTGGTATTACAAGAAATACTTATTTGAATTTTATAAAACTGTTAAAATAAAATTTGTGTAAGTGAATGACCTCTCTGTGTGTAATGTGCGAGTGAATGGATGTATGTGAGAGGATGTGTAAAAGTATGCATGAAAAGGTCCAATGGATTATTAACGATGACAAAATTTTTATTCTTAGTTTCACATTTGTGTTTTCAGAATTCACATAGTATTATTATCAATATCTTATCTATCTATATAAATAGTTTTCTTATTTATTGTCACGTGACCCAAAATGCTTGGGATTGGTGGAGCCTAAAATGACGTCACACGCAAGTAAACTTCCGGTTAAAGTGACATTACATTGTATCGTTTGACGTTTTAATAACAGTCGTGTGACGTCACACACTAGTAAGACGCCATATTGTCCATAGAAACGTTTTCGCGCTAACTCGAAAATGGAGTTTTTGATTTGGTTATTTTTACTGAAATACACAACAGAATGGTGAATATCCACTTTTTACGGACTCCATAAACGTTAATCAATAACGTGACACCGTTTTCTAAAACTTGTCAAATACCCTATTGATACGGTATCTAGACGTGTACCTATATCATCAAGGGCTATTAAATTGACAGGCATGTTAGTTGAATAATGATTTGAGAAACATTTCAGATATATATTGGAGCGTTAATGCAGTTTAGAAAGTTAACTGTGAAACCTTGGTCCTCAGGGCATTCTGCTCAGCTGCAACGCGATGTCTGCGGAGTATTTGTTCATGACCGACAAGATATACGACCCTCGCTACGACACCGGGGACAAGGTCATTCAGTGCGGGCGACACAACGACATTTTCAAGCTGTGGCTGCAGTGGCGCGGGAAGGTCAGTACACACCGGGGTTGCCAGGTCACCCGATTTTACAGGAAATCTCCTGTTTTTGCCAAATGTCTCCTGTTCTTCTGTTTCTCTACATGAATCTTCTGTTTTTCTTAGAATAACTCATGTTTTTCTCAAATCCTCTTTTTTTTATAGATAGGTCCGACAAATGACTCCACTCCACCTGATGTTAAGTGAAGGTAAAGTCCAGACGCGAAAATAGCTGATACAGTAGTTTTACCTGCCACACCAGCCATCCTCACCCTGCCGGCCTGCATCTTGCTTCTTCACGCCTCTTTTAAAGGATCCCAGGTTGTAAGAGGGCTCGCTCACGTGTTCCCTACACGTGAGCGGAGAGAGCATTCCATTTACGGATAGTGCGACAAAGAAATGAGTCACCAAATTTCTTTGTACGCGTTGGAATTGTGGCCACAGTTAGACGGTGACAACGTAGGCCAGCACGCGTGGTCCTCTGAAGGAAAGGGGAAGGTGGGATAAGAGAGAATAACTCCTCAGAACACTCGCCGTGGTACAGACGATAGAACGCTCTTCTGTTTCTCTACATGAATCTACTGTTTTTCTTAGAAAACGATTTTCTTTTTTAAATTGAAAAAATTGTGTCACACGAACCACCTGTGATGTGCTTTTCCGGTTACACCATTAAGAATGTTACCTTAGATATACAAAAACTATGTTTTTGTTACAAAAAAACGAGCTTTGAAGGGCGGAAGAAGCCATAGAAACGCATTTGATGCTTCTTCTGTTTTTTTTGCAGCTCTTTTCATATATCTACTGGCTTTAATCCTGTAACGCCTACCGGTTTTTTAAAATCGGACCTGGCAACACTAGTACACGCTACGTTGTCACCATACCACTAATGACTGGCCAATATGGGAAACTCCAAGGCCGTAAAACTTATAGAAAAAAAAATACGTTGTCACCAAGTGCTGAAGGCACAACTGCAGTCGTTGTGTCGCCAACAATCATTATTCGTGTATACTAATAATGATTGATGAGAGGAGCTCGATGGCGTAAGTGGTTAGCGCGATCGTTGAACTTAAGCAATTTTCGCAGTGGTCGGTCATTGGATGGGTGACCAAAAATTACTATCTCGAGCTCCTCCGTTCTTCGGAAGGCACTTTAAGCCGTTGGTCCCGGCTGCATCTACAGTCGTCAGCAACCGTTAATCCGCACTGAGCCCGCGTGGTGGGTCATCGCCCATTCTCCCTATTCCATCCATAGGGAAGGCCTGTACCCCAGCAATGGGGACATTAATATTATTAAAATCTCCAGAAAACTTTCTATTTACCCCCAGACCTCTTTAAAAAGTAATAAATATGGCGCAGCTTTTAACGTTCAGAAGAGCTTGTAGCAGCTTAAACAAAAGACTTCTAGTTTCAGTTTGAAGAAATCGTCCTTTGCCTGCCACATTCAGGGCACATCCGGCTTCGAACAGTTGATGGTCTTTCTGAATGTTCCATTTACATTTCATTTTCAAGGCATCGGACGGTACGTCAAGCCGTGTTGCATCTGAAGCACCACCCACTAGTAGTCTGTTTCCGCAACTCGACACCTAGTGCCTATTTTGCGTGGCGATTGGCATCAGTCCTGCCATCCCAGCTCCTCCAGAAAGCTCAGCAGTCCCCGGATGTTGCTGCAGGCTTCTACTAGTGTCCGCGGGCTTCCCATTAGAGAAGTCCTTTTTCTTGCAACGCCTCTGCACTCCAGCAGAACATGGGCGCTCGTCTCCTCCTCCTCCAGGCAGGCTCTGCACAGAGGGCTGTCAGAAATACCTATTATAAAGGTGTTTGTTGAATTAGCCGTGACCCGTGAGTATACCCACGATTTGTTTCAGGGCTTGTCTAGGTAGTCTGATTAACTTACGTGATAGCTGCTGGTTTACCTTAGGAACGGCTTCCCTAGCTTGCCTGCAGTCAATGTGTTTTGCCCAATATTCATCGTGTTGTTGTTGACAGCGCTCCCTTATCCAGGTTCTCAGCTGTCGATAAGGTATGGGTACAATTGGTTCCGGGCCAACGGCCGTCCTGCTGGATCCCTCTCTAACCAAGCAGTCAGCCGCATCGTTACCCAGCATCACCCACTACTAGAACTCGCGAAGTAGGTCATGGCCCAATCTCCCCATCCCTGAGGAAGACCTAGCAATGGGGACATTAATAGACTGATGATGATGATGATCTTTAGGGCACATCCGGCTTCGAACGCCTGATGGACCGTCTGATGGAGCTTTCGGAGTATATGGTGCGCCGCATCCGCGAGCAGCCGGACCGGTTCTACCTGATCCTGGAGCCGGAGCTGGTGAACGTCAGCTTCTGGTACCTGCCGCGACAGCTGAGGGGCGTGCCGCATGACAAACACAAGGAGATCAAGCTGGGGAAGGTGAGAGAGGATTGTAGCTCACACACACAAATACACGCGCCCCACACAAATACTCATATACACCCCACATAATTTCAAAACGATATTTAATTTTAGAACGTTTCTTGAAACATAAACACTAATCAAATCTCAGCTAAGTAATTGCTTATTTCAGAAGGGCATATAGGTCAATATCTACGCTGAAGCAAAGATTTGATCTTTGTTTACTTAGAGAATGGTCGACACCATTCTTAAGAAGCGAATTGTCATTTGTCATTGTCAAATCGAGAGTTTATGAAATTTAACATACCGCTATGTTTTTAAGTGAAAACATACTTAGTCCATAGACAAATTTGATCGGAGTTCAAAACGGATTTTTTATTCTAGTTTCAGCTGGTAAACTCTACACTTAAGACAAGCTTTGCGCGGTTCAAGTTTAGAAGCTGCTTGAGCCGCGTTCTATAATGCGGGCCTTAGTCTTTTACCCAAATTCCATTGGCACTCATATTCGGGCTAATGACATAGTGTAATCGCACCATTACACTTTTTTTGTGTGAATGCTGTTGGTCGCAGATGACCTTCACAGCGTCACCGGACTTGGGGACGGCGAGATCCTAAGGGGACCTCAAGCCGAAAATTGGCGAGTGCCTCTAGAGGTATTCCAGGTGGATGGTGTCTCCCCACGGGAGGAGTCTCCTCTCCGTCTGGAGCTTCTAGACCATGAGCACCTGAGGGGGTCGGCTCAACTAGAGGGCATTTCCGAGACCTCGGCTCTACTAAGCCGTTGTCGTGGGGGCACCATTACAGTGCTTTGTTTGAGGATATGATAATCAGTTTGAGTGAATAAAATGCCTACCTATTTTTTATTATATTTTCCTTTTCCCATTCAGGTTTGCGCCAAGTTGAAAGGTAAAATGATGCAAGCCGGCACTATAATGGTCGGGTACCAGCCAGACGATCGACGACCCAACTTCTTCCGCAACATCATTTCTTCTGCTGCCGTCACTGAAAAAGATGTGGACTTCCTTCTAGCGGAGATGGACCGTCTGGGTCAAGACATTGTGGTCGACTAAACTTGCCAATTTTAATGACGCCCCCATCACTAGTCGGGAGGAATATGGCGCGAAAGATTTTAATAATAAGGTTTTTTTTTTACTAGAGATCGCCCTATTGGCCAGAATTCAACCTTTTTAAACGACTGCCAAAAGAAGGTGTTATGTTTTCAATTTATGCCTTTTTTGTATTTCTTTCAGAGAGTCATGCGTGTTTGTCAAACGCCGTTTGTGCGATGTTTATTTTATTAATTTAAAGTATTTCTAATGCATTATTTTAAGGAAAAATGAGAGCTTTTTGCACTCCTTTTCCATATAAATTTTTGTTATACAATATCTTCAGTCCTCCGTACGTAAAATAATCAATGATTTCCTTTCATATAATGATACTAATTAATCGCGTCATAATTTCTCCTCAGTCACTAGATAAACTTTAGATTAATCGAACAGTAGAATTTGTATGTGCGTATATATGAAAGACATAACCAATAGAATATCCAGTAATGTCTAAATATAATGAAATTTCATAAACTTGAAAAAAAAACCTCTATGTATTTTTCGGAAGAAAATATGAATAAAATCATTTAAAAATATGAATTTTGACTAAATAACTGTTGTTTTTAAAACTTCAACTTGATATATTGAAGTTGAATATTCGATGTCTACATGTTTGAAAGCGAGACTGTCTCTGAGTACATATTAATATAGTTATTCGGTAGATATAATATATTATTAAATTTATTAATACAGCTGGTCCCACATTTGTTTTTAATGCGAAAATGTGCAAAGGATTTTAGTTATTACTCGATCGACTATAGATAGTATAGTCGACTAATAGTTTTTTACTAAATCCTTAGGTACCTATGTAATTAGTACTGGAAACGCAAACTATTCCTGGTAATTGGTATATCTAGATTCGAACTCTAGTTGCATCGATATAGAAATCGATAAAATTCTATATATTTTCACATTATTTCGTATGTGGGCCCACTTTTAGATACGATTTGAGCGAATATTTGAATGAAAGTTGTTGTACCTACTAATCTAATATTATGGATAGAAAATCCTGTTGGAATTTTTGTTGAATTAAGCAACGATTAGGTCGTATAATTATCTATTAATAATCATTTTCTGCTGAATTATAACGTTTTGAATAAAAAAAAATTAAGCATTTATGTTGACGCTTAAAATTGTTAACGCGTTATGAAAGTGCCGTCTATAAATTAATTATAATTAACATAATAATAATATTGTGACACTGAAAATATATTTTCTAAATAATATTAAAAAGTTAGTAATGAATGTTTATGAACTTAAATAAAATGCTAGCAGTTACATTGAAATATGTTGTTCTTGTGAACGTGGATAGAGGGCGCTTCTTCTTATTAAATCAGGAAAATAATATAATATTTGTACTGTCGTGTAGTTCTATCAACGCCATCTATCAACTAACTTAAAAACTAATCAACTGGCAGAAAGTATTATGTATTTCAAAATAAAATGCCAAAAAATTCCAACCATGGCCTAATAATGTGTAAATGGTTAATATATATTGTTGTGCTTAGTGCTTCTTGTTGATATTATATAAAGTACTATATAAATGTCTAAATATGTATAGAAAATACGTTAAAGAATTGCAGAAATATTACTATTTTTATTTGTAGTTGCAATTATTTATCTACATTTATACGTGTACGATATATTATAACAAATTGATTTTTGTCCAAATATATGAAAGAATAATGCTAAAATATTAAGCTATTTTATATTCTACTTAATATATTTTCGTAGAAGAAATATTAATTATATAAATATAGATGTGCTATATGTGTTAAATAAAATTGTATTTAAAGAGAAACGCATGGCGTAGGTATATTTATAATTATGTACCTATTATTCCAAATTATGATATTAATTAATTAAACAAGCCAAAGTTATTTAAAAAAAAAACAAAAAATATTCAAGGGCATTGGCAATGTTTATTTCCTAAATATTAACGTTTTAAACGCTTTTAATCAGGTTATTGAAAAGTTAATATTAATGTAGGTACTTACATTATAAAATAAAATAAATGTGTGTGATTTATATTTTTTTGGAAAATTAATAAATCATTCTTTCTTTTTAATTTTAATAAAAAAATTAAATATTATATTAAAATAAGATGTTGGATGTGTCGTAGACAATAAAAATGTCATGTTTTGTCTTCCATATTTTAAATTACATGAGCAAATTATTTATTATTGAATTTTAGTAATTACTAAAATACTATAATTATATAGTAAATTATTATGTAGATTGTAAAATTATAAACAATTTATATACTAAACATATCTCCCGTTTTGCCAATTAAATCTTCTGAGTTGTGAAATAGTGAATTAGACTGCTTGTTTCGGTTTCAATAATTATATAAAAAAAATATGTACCATTTCATTTACTTGGACATGCTTTCTACAAGGGCAAGAATAAATTAATTAGGTAATACTGAATACTTTGTGCATTGTTGTTGTTAGGTAATCGATTTATCATCATCAGCCTATTAATGTCCCCACTGCTGGGGCACAGGCCTTCCCTATGGATGGAATAGGAAGATTGGGCGATGACCCACCACGTGGGCCCAGTGCGGATTAACGGGTGCTGACGACTGTAGATGCAGCCGGGACCAACGGCTTAACGTGCCTTCCGAAGCACGGAGGAACTCGAGCTAGAAGATTTTTGGTCACCCATCCACTGCGAAAGTTGCTTAACTTCAACGATCGCAGCCGAACTCGCTAACCACCTGCACCATTGAGCCCCTCAGGTAATCGTTTTGGTCAGTAAAATTTGGTGTTGAATAAGTACTTCAAAAAATACATAAAAAATGGGAGGAAAAAATATTACAACGAAAAAGTACCTTCAAAATATTTTACAATTTACTGAACTGATCAGGTTTCAGCGGTATAATATATTGTTCAATATCAATGTATTGATTCATCATACCTACCTATATGACGTTTAAATATTCTTAGGGGAATATTGTTATTTAAATAGTATATACGTATTGTGTATTATACGCAATAACTAATTAAAATTTAATAAGTAGATCAAGGTAATTAAAAATTTATTAATATAACATAATATCACTGTCATTTTTTATGATTTATTAAAATAGAAAATTGGCGTTTTTTAATTACATATTCGCTTTCTCTACTTTTCCTATTCATACCATATGATCATAAAATATGTATGTAAGAAAAAAAACTGTTGTTTTTTTTAATATTCTGGCTATGAAGCCTGCCTCAACAGAATTGCTGTATTTTTTCCATTTATGACAAAGTTAGGTAGAATCTGTGCGAAAAGAGAATGGGATTTAGATTCGAGGGCGCTGTAGTGCTTTTCTACCGTATTTATAAGGTTTTACCCCTTTTAAACATGATTAAATACAAAAAATGGTTGCCTGTAAAGTCGGTTTTACGGGCGAAGATTTTACGTGACAACGTCTTTTTCTCGGTAGAATATTTATTGATATGAATATAATTAAATTGCACAATAGGAACAAGGAATTGAATGAAAATAAGAATTGCACAAATTTTAACTATAGAAATATATTTTGTTTACTAAAACATTGTACATGTAAACTTAAACTTAACACGAGAGACTCATCGTAACGTTACCGAGCGTTACTCTTTTTCATAAGTGACTCCCAGCCGCAACCTAATTTAAGACGTTGTCACGTCAAAAACCGCAAGAAATCACAACAACAAACAAATCCGTATCAATACAAAACTTTGACGTTTTACAGATTGCTGGGTTTGATTGCCAAATAAGAATCATAATGTTAGTTCCGTTTTTCGCCACGCCCATTCTCTTTCCGCACAGACTCTAGTGCAATAGAATCCGTTTTTTCCGGTTTCAATTGTTTTCAACGAATAATAAAAAATATTGTTGTTGATCTGTAATTTTGTATCTATAGTTTTGTAACTTTTTGTTATTTTAATTAAATCTCAAAAACTATAACATTTGTAATTTTTATAATTGAATTGTAATAGGGATGATGACTATTTTTTTTTCTTCGTTTATCAGGTAGATTATCAAAAAGTATTGGACACGTATTTTTTCTTTTTTCCCATAATATAATCATTGCAGAGATATATTGATTTGAAAAGTCGCATGACGTCACGTTTGAGTACACTTATAAGTGAAAAATCACTCAAAAGTGACGTCACGAGCCCCTACTCCCAAACTTTGACGTGCTATAACTTTGTCATTTTTTGGTTGATTGCCCAAAGAAAAATTACGTGACCATTATTTTTTGATCATCTAACTGACGGACTAAATAGAATTTCGTTTACTGTACCCCGTCATCACCCCTATTCTATTCAATGTATACAGCATGGAGTTTAGAGAGAAGGAGAACCATCGCTATAGAAAGTAGTGTCCCAGAAATATGGACATAATAAGTGAGGCGCTGCGATCGCTAAGTTGTCTCAATAAAAGCGGGATAATTTGAAATGACCAATGGCGCGAAGAAAATTTGTACAATATTCAACTGACTTCATCTACTTGTACTCATTAACAGCTAACTTCACAGATACTACTTACCGACGGCAGCGCGGCTGGTGGCTGAAAAATGAACTATAAATTCTACAAATTTTCAGGGACAGGCGGGCTAATGCTTTATCACGTAGCGATCGTTCGCCTTATCTCTAACCTCCATGGTATACAGTATACACGAGGTTGTACAACGACCATTGACAAGGTAGAACGACATACAAAAATTTTTTTTAATAACTTTTTTTTTACTTATAAAACTATATTATATTTGGTATATATCTGAATTGAAATATCTAAAACCCAATTATATACGAATCGTTAGATGTGTCATCAGATTATCTTGCATCGTACTTACATTTTATTTCGTCTGACTACTGCCTACCACAAATTTATATATAATGATATATCTCGGCTTTTAACCATATATTTTGCTTATATTATGTATTTTTTAAGCATATAACTGCAAGATGTTTAAATCTAAAGAAAAAATTACTAGAATAAACCCACAATGCGAAGAGATGGCGCTGCCTTGCAGTGTAAGGCTAGAGAAAGTTCGACACGGCCATCAGGGCCGTGGTAGCGTAATGGTCAGTGCATTCGCCCGGATAGCGAAGGGTGCGGGTTCGAGTCCCGTCTGCTGCATGGACCGCGTGGAATTTTTTCAAGTGAAGTTTTCTTTTGATTTAAATATATTTTGCTGGTTTGTTAGTTAAGTAAGTTGTAC